CTAATTGAAAACAAGCAAACGTGTGTGTGTGTGTGAGTGTGTGTGTGAAACAAGAAAAACAAGCACAACGAGCGTCTACAGCTGGCTCTGGGGTATTATTGTATCTGTTAGATGCGAAATTGCAAACCCACCAAAGGCAGTCTCGCAGTCTCAGTCTCAGTCGCAGAGAGTAGCAGCCGAGGCAGCGACGTTGCCAAACTTCACATCACAGCAAGCAGCAGAAGCACATTTTTTTTTTGTTTCGCTGTCGCTTTGTAGCCGCGTAGCTATAGTTTTTCCTCCCCTTCCCTCTCTCTCTCTCTCTCTTGCACTCTCTTAGTGAATGCTGTGTATCTGTATCTTTGCAGTGTAGCTTGTATCTGTAGCTTGTTCTGCCTTTTGTGTCTCTGCGTTGAAGCCATACGATGAAGAAAATTGCTGCAACAATGTCGCTTAATTTTCAGTTGCCAGCAGTAGTATTATTATTATGTATGCACCTGATCGGGTCTTTATGATACCAGGAGGCAGAAAAGATACAAAATAAGCCAAGAAACCGGTTAACAACGTCACCAGACCCGGTCTGGACCCATCATCATCATCATCATCATAATGATGCGATCATTAAACATAATCTCAAGTCCAGGTCCAGGTTCCAACTGGTTATCAGGTAACAGAACCCGATCCCAACACTGAAGCTCAAAAGCAGACCGATCCGAACCCATCATCATCCTTCTCTGGTTTCTTCCACAAGGTATGGGGTTATAGATGATTCTACAGATGTAGTTAGAGCTCTTGGGCTACATTTTAGGATCAGTATTATCTTCAGAAACATTTCAGAAGCTTAGGCCGCAAAAATTCTATCTAAAAAATGCATCTTTTTTATAAAAAAAGGTCAATATTTTCTCCTTAAAAATTTTTATAGATATTTCAAAACCTCCCTAGTATAGTTCAACCTCTATACCATCCAGGAAACAATTCTTAAGAAAATCATAGGCATAGTTCTTCAGAAGATTACCCCACTTGTTCTCTTTCTCTCTCCAGACCGCTTCTGTCTATTATGGCCATAATTTCTGAGCTCTGAGCCCGTTCCGTCCAGCTCTTTTTTTTGGAATAATAATCGATTTCTTGGTGCGCCTTCTTTTGTGCCTCAAACACACACACACACACACACACACACACTTGATGATAATCTTTTGTGTCTGTCTGTCGGTCTGTCCGGTTCTTTAGCACCTTTTGTCAACGTGTATGGGATGTGGTGAAGTGCGGCAACGTTGCCAAAGCGAAACAGAGATAGGAGGCATTAGAAGAGCACCTCTCCAGAGTCTCATCATCTCTCCTCCACGGCTCAGCTCATGTGTGAAATTATTTGGGAATTTTCTAATTTCCCATACAAAAGCTGAGTTATCGCATCACTGACAGGCGTCGGAGTCTTCTCCACCTCCTCCGCCTCCTGCCTTCTTTCCCCAACATTCGTCACGTTCCCTTATGATATCTCTATCCTCCTATTGCATGGCATTTTGTGCTTTTTTTTTTTAGCAACTTTGTTATTGTTTTTTTGTTGGTATTACGACACTGCCAGAAAAAAAAAAACAATGAAATGTGCATTGCCAGGCAAAAAAAAAAAAAAAAAACCAAAAAAAAAAGTTTAAAACAATAGCATTGGAATAGCTTTATGAAAAATAATTGCACAACTTGCATGAACCAACTATAGCTTCACGTTCCTGAACGTACTACACGATATGGTTATATGGTGGTCAGGAAATAGGGCTAAGAGCAGGGCCCATCATTGTAGAGGAGGGAGAATGTATAACTGTGACTAAAGTTAGTCAGATATTTTAATAAAAAGTGCTCTATTTTAGATATAATTTACTAAAGTATTTATTTAGCTTGATAGCTCCTGGAATTCTCAAGTGGTTCTAGAAATGAACCTGAACATGAACCAACATGAATAGAAAACTTAAAAATCTTAATAACCTCAAAAAAATAGTTGAAAAAATAATTTAAAATCTTATACAAAAATATAAAACTAAGGAAACTACAATTTTTAAAAGGTTTCTTTCTAAGATTTATCTTCTATATAGACATCTTCTATATTATATAGAAAGAAACCTAGTAAAAATTGTGGTCCCATGTAGTTTTAGTTATTAAGTGTAAATCTCAAGTGGTTCTAGACTAGAAATAAACATGAACATGAAGGAACATGAAAAAACATAATTAGAAACCTCAAAAAGAAACCTTTATAACCTCAAAAATATTGAAAAAATGCTTCAAAATATTATAGAAAAATATGAAACTAAGGAACTTTGACTCCTATATATAAATTCTACAAAGAAACCTTTTAAAAATATTCAAAAAAAACTATATTTAGTATTATATAAAAATATAGAACTAAAGAACTATTAAAAAATATTAAAAAAGCACTCTACTCAGGCTCAAAAAATAATCTTCCAAGGGAAATACCCTCTTTCAAAGCTAAAGCCATCTGTTTTAAATTAAAAAAACAAAAACAAAAAATAGCCATTATAATAAACAACTTTAAGATAAAAATCCAAGGCAGTTAAATAAATGATACAACCACCCACTCATCACCACCACCCAGACCTTATCTAACCAGAGAAATCATCCAAAACAAAAATAATAACAATATATGACTATGAAAATATATAGCTACGATTATAGAGCTCTGGTTCTGGTTCCTGGTTCTGTTTTTTATTTTTTTGGGGGGTTTCTGTTCCTTGAGAGAAAGCAGTCGTATTGGAATGGATAGACAGATGAGTAATCCGAGACCCCTAGATATAGAGAGACCTCCCCTCCGCACAACAGACCCCCGGGTCGGAAAAAAAAACAAAAACACGCCATAGCCATGACTAAACATTTGAATAATTATCAAGTACGAAAGTACAAATGGTATGGTAATTATTGGGGAATAGAAAATAATTGAGTGGCTTTCGGTGTAAGTAAGCCACGTTTGCAATAAAAATATCTGATAGATACTCTCTTCTATCTAATCTACACATTCTACCCTATAAAACTATGAAAATCAAACATCAGAGAAAAAAAATATAAATGTAACATGACATTGAAAACGAGTCAAAAGCACTAAAAAAGTACATATATATATATATAGAGGCTATATACTGATATAGATCATTGCTAATGTTGTTGTTGTTGTCATTATTGTCGTGTGTAGCTTGTTTTTGTTGTTGTTGTTCCTCCCCCTGAGATGACATATCGTGTTAAAAAGCGAAACACGAAATTCAATTTAATAAAGTGATCTGTAAGAGGGGTATTATTATTTTAGGGGGTACTCTAGGCCATATTTTGGGACTAAAATTAGTCTCAATGCTAATCGACAGATCAAGGATCTTATAAGAAGGGAAAGATTTTAAGGGAAAAGATACCTATTAGCCCATAGTGCGTAATTCAACTTGATGTATCTTCAAACTACAATTGTATCTATGAGTTGTTTGTCGGGGTTTTTTGGGGGGGGGGTCTGACTTCTTGGCTTATAATACCGATAACCGGAGGGGAGTTCATTGTCAATGTCAAAAGACAACGTCTGGTTTTGAACCAACCGAACCGAGTAGGTAATTACCGCAAAAACTACTATATGCTATATGGCTAGGCAGCACTATAGTGCTGTTGTTTGACATTGATGCGGGTTTAATGCACCACCAGACCGAGGGGGATATGGATGTGTGTGTGTGGGTCTCTACTATATAGTCTCTATAGTGTGCCTAATGAAGCAATTAAAACATTTGACTTTTGCACCAAAAAACACAAAAATAGAGAAAGGAAGGGGGTCACCCCATCAAGAAAACAAAACAAAACAAGAGAGAGGTTCGTTTTAGGCCCAAAAAGAGAGAGAGAGAGAAAATATTACGTAATATCTGTAGAAGAAAGAGGTATCTAGAGGATGGCTAGAAGAGTATCTGTATCTTCTAAGCAACCTAAACAGCAGCCATTGCCACATGTTGTTTCTCTCGGTTGTGTTCCCTTGATTCTTCTTGATTTCTAGACACGTAGACAGTTGGCTCACAAATACATAGCCACTCTAGCATACTCATAGATACATATATAGTATCTCAGGTAAGAGATACTTGGGTTAGAAAAGCAAAGACACGACAAGTCAAGGTAACAGAGTTACGCATTCTTTTTCGGGCATGGCCATTACCCATTAGCTTTTTCTATCTCATAGATTACTATTTGGAAATGCATCTGTAAGATACTTTTTTTTTTTCTTCTTCTTCTTTTTGATGATAAGAACAACGGCCTCGTCGTGTGGGTAGCCCAAGTAGCTCTTGAAACTGGCCTACGCTGGCATCTAGCATCTGAAAGATACAAGATACAATTTACATACTGCCGTAGTAGCCTCCTCTTGGAAGTTGGATTTTTTCTGGTTTTTTTTTTTATTTTTTTTACTGAAATGGTTAATCGTGACTGAGGCATTTAGGCACCCACACCCACACACACGCTCACGTACGCATCTGGAAGATAGATTTTAGAGGAGAGATACCTTTGGTCTGGGGGTCTGGGGTTTGGGGATATTGTATCTTTTTGAAAATAAAAAGGTTTATTTTTGGAGAATTATATATTTTGGTTTTTAGGTTTATTATCTTTTTTTTTATATTTTTCTTTTCTTATATTTTATTTATTTTTTTACGTTTTTTATTATTTTATTTAAGAATATATTACATTTCTTTATACAGATTATAGATCAGGTCTTGAAAACAATTTTTTAGGTTATAATAGAAGCTATAAAACCTTGTAGACAATATCCTATCTTTAAAACTTTACCATTACAAGGTCCAAATATTATATGATTTTTACAAAAATCTTACCTTAGTTTATATTAGATAAGATAGTAGTACTATTAGTACTAGATACTAGATAAGATACTAATATAATATTTTTTATTAATTTTTATTATTTTATAAAATTTTAAAAATATCTTAAAAGCTACCCTTTAAGGAACCCCCCATTATCATAGTATCTCCTTCCTCTTGTATCTCGTATCTCACCTTTTCAATATCTGATTATTATTATTATTGTTGTTTATAATTGTTGTTGTTGTTGTTGTTAATATTATTATTAGACTGCTCCTGCTGATGAGTTTCGGCTGTTAATTTTCCAAAACAATTGTTGCGGCTACTGTCGCGTACCATTTTTCGATAACGGAACACTTCACAGCAGAATCTGCTACTTTTTCTTCATCATCTTTTTCTTCTTCTTATACTTTGATTTAGGTGGAGCATTGCCACATGGGAAGGGGGAGGGGCGGCATTTTATTTTATTTTTATTTTTTTTTATTTTAAATGGGCGCCCTCCTTCCCATTAAACATTATACAACACTACTAATATTTGCTTTTATTTTTTTTTTAAGATTGTTTTTTTATTTTTTTGTAATTTTTAAAATTTAAATTTAATTATTTGTTGATCTCTTCTTCTTCACTCGCACATGATGGTAGGTAGCACTATATATATATATAGAAATATTAGAAATACGATTAGATTTCGAATTAGATTTGTGGCTTCTTCCAGAAGCTCATCTTAAGGGGGGGGGCAGCACTTCACTCGCACATACACTTCTTTAGGGGGGGATTAAGATAGATTTTTGTAAAAGATACAGATACATTTTGAAGACGGTGACGGGGATTGTTGGGGGGAAGATTTCAATTTATTTTAATATAAATGGAGGGGTAGTAAGGGGGGGGGGGTTTTCTTTTTGTTGATTTTTGCACTTGATTTCTTTAATTTGTTGTTGTTGTTGTTGCTGTTGTTGGACATCGACTTCACTTATGCCAATTTGCCTTAATTTAGCAACTAAAAATACGTTTTTCCATTTAATTCAACTAGAGCAATTTAAATTTATTGAAATTTCAATGGTTCTACCCCCTCCTCCAGCTTATACTATACTATATATACGACTGACTATATAAAAGATAAACTTCTTGTATAGGGCCATTTCCTCTACAATACAATACAAATGCGGGAAGGTGGAAAATGACCCCCCTCCCCCCTCTAGGGGTGGTACAGCAGCAGCAGCATGTTAAAATTCCATGCATTAAAGAACCCAAAAACCAAAAACAAGCATGGAAACTCTACACAGGCAGCATGTGAAATGCGGCAACCTCGCTACCTCGCTATATATATATGTATGTATGTACACCTATCTCTTTCGAACCTATAGCTCACCCCGGTTTTTGGCCAAAAGTGAAAACTGGCAACATGGCATTGTTTGCTTATAATTGACGTTTGCACTGCCGCTGCTGTCTGACGTGGTTGTTAGAGCAAGACAGCAGGGCCGTTGTTGCTGCTTCAGCGCGCACACAATACATAAGGGGTGTCTATGTATGTATCTCAAAAGTATATAAAGAATTTATAGCTGGTACTTTTTCTGTTGTTGTTTTTTTTTTTTTGTATTTCGTACATGGAAAACGAGTATCTCTCGGGTTGTGTGTATTTATAAAATGGTTATGTAGTCATGTAGCGCTGTAGCGAGCATGGTGTGCTTGTAGGGGTGCTTTGTTGTTGCACGTTCTACCATAAATCGTGTAGTTTTGTAGCCCCCCCCACACCCCACCCTTCCCTAGTCCCAGGCAGTGGCGTGTCAGAAAAAGGGGGAAGCTTTCCGTAAAGGGGGAGGAGGTCTGACGCCCCTGCTTCTACGTATTTTCTTTTGGGGCGCAGCAGGAAATCACCAATACATAGGACTCTCTCTCTCTCTGTGTGCGTGTGCGACGGGCTGTACACACAATAAATGGTATGATGATGCCCTATGTCTGTCCTGCTTTAACCCATAGGCCCACTCCCCGTTCGGAATGATCGCGTGAAAGTTTCTCTGCAGCCGGCAGAGCTGTTGGCTGCGCTGCTCCCCTAAAAAACTTGGGGCCGTAGCTCTGCGCGATTTCAGTCGCTTTGTAGAACTGGTGGGGCACGCAGAAAATCGCTAGAAAAAACAACCTCACAAATGAATATCCTCACAAATCTCTACCCTGTTTCCAACAAAAAGATACAAAGATACTTTTTGTATCTAGATTTGTGTGTTTTGAGTTTTTTTTTCGCCATTTTGTGGAAAATATGAATTTCCTTTTCGGGCTTTAGTTGGAGTTTTAGTTTTTCTTTAGTTTTTTTGGGGGAAAAACCCCATTAAAGTCAGGCAGGCGATATTAACTAGAATCCATGAATATTGCCAGCAGCAGCAGCAACTGAAAACCAGTTTTCTGTATGTATTTGTAGCCTAGCTACGTGACCACACACAAATATATAAGAAGAAGAAGAAGCAGCTACAGCGCGACGACCGCATTTGCCAAAGAGCGAGAGAGATGGGGAGCTCCAAGGGGGGGGCAAAAAAGGAGAGATGGATGCCACCACATGCCGCGCCAACTTTGTAGTTTTTCTCTCTCCCCAACACACACACACTTGCTATATACTCTATATATGCGCACGCAAAGCAAACGGGTTACTGGATCTCGCTATCTTGCTCGCACACCAGCTGAATCGATTTTTCAAGCGACACGACAATTTCTCTCCACCACTCTTTACGCTAATCGGTCATCTCGCTCCAACCCTTATTAGCTTTCGATAATGTTCTCTCTTTCGCTCTAGTTGCCAGCTTTATTTTTGCGTTGTTCGTTTTTGTAGTTTGGAGGAGACCCCACCAACACCAACACACACATACACATATACACTTGGATTTATATATAGTCGCCATGTTACTTTTTCGTACGTTGGGGGAGCTGTCAGCTTGGATTTTTTTTTTTTTTTTTTTGTGCTACAAATTTCCAACACTGCACGTCGCCCGTTTGGCTCGGCTTGTATTTGTGTGCATGTTTGTGCTTGCCTGCCTGTATGTATGTGCTTTGAATTTCTGATGAAATTCTTGGCTTTCGAGTAATTGCTGCCCGCCGTCGTTCTCAGTCGACGGCGACGTCCTCAGTCACGGAAGCTCTGCCACTGCCAACGTCGCTGCTGCTAGAGCTCATTTTTGTGCCATTTTTCTTTGTGGAGATCCAAGAAGCACGAACCAGAGGAAGAATTCTTCCCGATTTTTAATCAATTATTTTTTTAAATTTTTAATTGTTAAATTTTTTGGCAAATTGGCTTTTGTTTAAATTTTTTAAGAATTTTTGAAATTAGAATTTCCACTTCTACACTTTAGACACTCTTTTTGGGTTTTAAGAATTCACTTATTTTTTTTGGTTGTTTATCCATCCCTTGTTGTTTATTTTTAAGATTTATCCATTTTTTAGTTGATATTTCAGCGATTATCTTCCTTTCTTACCATTTGCGTTGATGACTAAAAAGAGAAAATTAGGGAAATTCCATTAATTTTTGGGTTTTTTTTTTTAAATAAATAATTAAAGAAGAAGAATGGTTACTAAGAAGCGATAAGGCCTAGTCTTCTGGGAATTGAAATCTCATAAATGGACCCCGTCTTATAAAGATCCCGCATAACGGTGGTACTTTTAATAAAAATGTATGAATTCATGGAAATTATTTAAAAATAAATGTTTTACTAAGAAAAATAATAAAAAGATTATACATTAAGATTAGTTCTATTAGAAAAAAGTAGTAATAAAATACTAGTTAAAATAAAATGTAGTTTTTAGAACCTAAAAGTAGGAAAAACTAGGAAAAGGAAAGATCTCTTATAGATCTCTCTTCCAAGACCTTCTTCTAATTTCTTCTAGAGACCCCTGGATATGTCCTTGATTTTTCCTCTTAGCCAGAATCTCTCTTCCAAAACCTTCTGCTAATCTCTTCTAGAGACCCCTGGAAGTTTCTTTGATTTCCCCCGCCCGGAAAAGCGCCACAACCTGCTCTTGAAATACTTACACCATTGGAGTGGATTTCCTTGGCTGATCATTGGAGGATCCTTTTTCGCAGCTTGTTGTTGTTTTTTTGTTGTATTTTTTTTTATAAACCCGTTTTGGACTGTATTCGAAATTTGCGCATTTTTACTGGATTTTGAGTAGCTTTTTCCAACTTTAGTTGCTTATTTTTTCGAAAACCTCCAAAAAAAGGTAGCGACGCGCCCGTTTAAAGTTCTGCTCCGACTTTCTACCGCCCGTACCGGACCGATCTCGAACCGATATACCGAGTCCAAAATATATAACCGATTTAGATCTCTAGAAGGGTGTGGTGATGAGGGGGTACCTCTCCTTGTTGTGATGATTTTGGTTTTTTTTTATTTGAATTTTTGTTGCTGCGGTTTTCCTGCGAATTAAATTCGACAGAAAAAAAGGCATCACAAAAAATTGAATTGAAAAACAATAAAAAAATTACAAATTTTTTTTTAATTTATTGGCTCGATTTCCATTTGCATTTGCCTTTTGTTTTTGTTTCTTTTTTTTTTATTGTATTTGATTTGTATTTTAATCTTGTTGTGGTTGCTGTTGTTGTTGCTGTTGTTATTGCGGTGTTGGTGTAATTAATGCATTTTCACACAAACTCACATAACTCGCGGCGCACAGATACACCAACGCTCTCACACACACACGCGCACTCAGAGATAGATGGGGAGACGGGAGGGGCCACTCTTGCCGTATTTATATTTATTTTTTTTGTTTAGATAACAAATTTTATTTTTTTGGCTTGTGTGTGTTTTGGCGGCGTTTTTATTTAATTGCCCGCCGCTACTGTTTTACTTTTTGTTTTCTTTTTTTTTTTTTTGTTTTTTGCTCGCCTGGACGCGCGCGCTGTCCGTTGCGACTTCACTCCGTTTGGCTTTTTTTATCAGTGTGACCGTGGTGCCGAGGAAAAATTTGGCCACCATTTGCCGTTGCTGCCTTAAGGGTTGCCACCCATGCACTATTTGACATGGTCTGTAAAGTGCTTTACGGTCACACTAAGTCTAACCGGTTTGCTTAACTAACCGGTTAACCCGATTCGGAGAGGGAAAATTTAAAAAATTAAAATTAAGCAAAGACATATAAATTTTTTTTTTCTAATGGCAGGATAACGTTTATTTAAAACTGTCCTTTAGGGACAACCATTTAATGTTATCACATAAACTTCACTTATAGATAATTTTAAATATTAATATGGTAGAAATAAATTAGAGTAGTAAGGGGAGGTCCAGCGGGTGTGTCCTTTTTAGTCTTCTAGGCTGCTCGCTGTTGTCCAGCAGGGAACTGGCCAACAGGTTCGGGTGATTATAAAGCCTCTGGAAGCCTAGGAAGTTCTCAGCTTCGATATCCTACCCATGAGCCAGTAGAAGGATCGAAGTCTTTGGTCAGCCTGTTTCCTCTTCTTAATCAGATGGGGCCTCCAGGTGATCTAGAGTGAATCCCTAATCCAAAAGACATATATTTTGATACAAGATAGAAAAATAAAATAAATTTATTAATTTTTTAGTCATAGGTTTGTAAGCCTTCCTACAATCTTTGATAATTGATTAAAAATTAAAACAAATAAATACAAAAAAAATTAACAATTTTGGAAAACATTATATCCTCTACAAGGATTTAAAAAGAAATAATTATAATTAGGAGAAGTGGGAGTCTTTTACGTGGATGATTTGACCACAGTCTTTTGTTATAATTTTTAATAAAATGTAAAATTAAAAAATTAATGAATACAAATGGAAAAAACGAATCGAAAGCTACAAAAAAAAAAAAAGATGGTGAAGGGCAAGATGAACAAGATGAGGTCCCGAAGAAGACTCGGGCTCTGAAGAAGAAGATTCGAGATTCGGGATAAAAAATAAAAAAATTATAAAATATATAAGAAAATAAATAAAAAGAAAATAAAATAAAAAAAGAAAATAAAAAAATAAGATAAGAGTGAAACCGATTGGAAAATAAAATAAGTTGTTTTTTTTTTTATAAAAAATATTATTTTTAAAAATAATTTTATATGAAAACTATTTTTGAGAAAAAAAGGTTCATTGTAATAGTTTAATTTAAAATAAAAAGATAATTAAATACCATAGAAGTCGAGAAGTGTTTATAATAACACCACATTATTATTATATAACATTAATTGTTGAAAGATTAATTTGTATTTAATTGATGACCCTATTAAGTGCATTTGGAAGTCTTGAATTCAACGGCTATGGGCCCATTGAAGAGAGTGAACCGTTAATTATTTTGTTTAGTTAAATATATGGTTAAAATATAAAAAAATGTATATATATATAAAAAAAATGGACAAAATATATCTTCTTTAAGGATATAAAAAGAAAAAAGAATAAATAAGAGCAAGGGGTGTCTTAAACGTTGGAGATTGGAATAGACCACAGTCTTTTATTATTTTTAATAAAATGTAACATTAAAAAATCAACGAATAAAAATGGAAAAAACGAATTGAAAACTAAAAAAAAAATAAGATGATGATGGGCAAGCTCGACAAAATGAAGAACAAAATGAGGAGTCGAAGGTCCCGAAGATGAAAAATAAAAAAATTATAAAATATATAAGAAATAAAAAAAATACGATAAAAGTGAAACCGATTGGAAAAAACATTGTTCATTGTTTATAATTTAATTTAAAATAAGAAAATAAATTAATATCAGAAGTCGGGCAGCAAAAAGTTTTTTCTTTTTTTTTTTTTTATATAAAAATATTATTGGGAAAAAAGTGTTAAAAATTGTTATATATGAAATATAGTTTAATTTAAAATAAGAAAATTAATAAATATCAGAGAAGTCGAGAAGTGTTTATAATAACACCACATTATTATTATATAAAATTAATTGTTGAAAGATTAATTCGGATTTAATTGATGACCCTCTTGAGTGCTTTTGCCACTCTCGAGTACAACGGCTATGGGTCAATTGAAGAGAGTGAATTCGACAATGAAATGTTCATTGTTAATTGTTTAATTTAAAATGAGAAAATAAATAAATATCAGAGAAGTCGAAAAGAAAAAAATAAAAATAAAAATAAAAAGAATACAAAAAATAAAATAGTTGTGGCTCCTTGAGCGGCTGAGCTCCGACTGATTGAAAAGAAATGCTTGTGCCCCTTATATACCCCACATTTTGGCCAGAAAATCGAAGGCAAAGCCTTCTTCGTTTGGAATAAACTTAAGAGTGATTAAGAATTGGGCGCGAATTTAAAAGGCGATAATAATAACCGATAACAACGTAAAACCAACCTACAATGTCTGAAAGCAGGTTGGCATCGCTGGCGACACGCAGGCGTTAGTACCTTTCCGCATGTTTTGTTTTGTTTCTGACACGACACACAATAAATAAGAAAATTATTATTTTTAAGAAAAAGTTGTGAAAAACTACTTTAGCCATGAGTAGTTTAAAGTCCGATTTGGATGAATATTTACTGCTGCAGAGTGACCAGAAGAAGAGCTTCAATGTGAAGCTGCCACAGTTGAAGGTCCCAAGTCTGGGACTATTTTCCAAAAACACGGAACCGGAGGCCAATAGCTGGCTAAAGGACACCCAGGACTCCTGTTGTCCCAAACTGGTAGGATTACATTGAGTCCTAAACCCTAAATAATTTATTTATAATCCATTTTCGTTTATATTTCAGTCGCGACTGCAGAGAATCGTCGGTTTTGTGGCCTGTTTGGGAATGGGAGGACTCTGCATATCCCTATCGACTTTATACATTCCCGTTCTCATCTTGAAAGCCCGAAAGTTCGCCCTGCTCTACACCCTGGGCAGTCTCTTCTTTATCCTAAGCTTTTGCTTTCTGTCCGGATTCGGAGCCTTTCTGCGACAGATGTTCTCCAAGCCGAGACTCCTGACTTCCATATCGTACAGTTCCTGCCTTTTGTTAACCCTGTATTGTGCCTTGGTGGCCAAAAGCACCGCATTCACAGTTCTGTTTGCTGTGGCGCAAATAATAGCATTACTGTTTATGGTACTGGGTATGGTTCCGGGTGGAGCTACGGGTCTCAAGTTCTTTGGGCAATTGTTCAAGACGAGTGTTTCGGCCTCGACAAGTGCGCTGCCAGTATAAGCCACGAAGAGCAATAAAACAAAACGAATCATCTCCAACCACCGCAGCAACGAACGATATAACTTATTTAACTCATTGATCCAAAATAAAACTTATTTGTGATATAACGCCTCTCAAAAGTAACCATATTGTTTTTCCATTCTTTTCTCAACTGACTCATTGGGAAAATCAATGCTCGCTTATCAGAAATTGCAATTATAAATGCGAACTATGACGCGATTCTGCTACGCTACGGAAGACTCTTTTTATAGATTGGTCTTTTACGACGCAATTGTGTATATGGGGGGAGGGTTATATTAAAATTATTTATTTTTATCTTGATCATAAAACTAATCTTCGATTTCTCCATTTTGTCATTCCACTGGAGTCTCCAGCAGTGGGCCTATCCTTTGACTTGGCTTCTCCATAGGTCAGTCCTCAATCTCGCCCAGATACAAGGTTTTATCGCTGGATCCAGACAAAATTAAAGGTTCTTTCGGACTGAAATCCACATCGTTTACACTGCCATTATGTCCTGGCAGCTTGTATAGAATGCGCCTCGTGTTGACATCCCAAATGTAGACATGCCGATCGGCCGAACCGCAGGATATTTTGTCGCTTCCCGGTGACCAAGCGCAGCGCAGCAGATTCTTCTCAAAGTTGTGCTGATGGCCCTGGAATACCTTGACACACCGCTCGCCAGGAGCATAGGGCCGCACGTCCCACACTCTCAGCGTGTTGTCCATGGCGTTGGTAAGGACGAAATCACCTTCAGGCGACAGCGCCATGCCGGTAACAGTATCGGCGTGTCCTCGCAAGTTATGCAGAACCGCCTGCTTTCGAATATCCCAAATTTTCAGTTCATTATCGATGCCTCCGGTGATTACTTGTTCTCCGGTGTCACCAAAACAAACTGCAGTCACCTGGAAGGGAGACTCCAGCGTATGGGCGGCGTGTTTCTTCCGCGCATCCCAGATCTTTATGGTCCGGTCATCACTGCCTGAGCACAGCAGCTGTTGGCCTCGTCGCGATCCCTGCACACTGTTCACAAAGTTCCCGTGGCCCTTGAAGCGTCGCTGCCGTTGACCCGTAACAATGTCCCAAATGGCTAGAGTTTTGTCCGTCGAGCAGGAGAATATATGCGAGCCATCCGGCGTGAAATGGGCTTCCATTACAGCGCCACTGTGTCCGGATAGAGCCATAATATTCTCACAGTCACCGTAAACCTGCCAGATATCTGTAAAATAATAATAATGAAAAGGATATTCAAAACTGAACCAAAATTTCACTCACGAATCTGCCTATCAAACCCAGAGGATAGCAGCATCTCTCCCTCCGGATGAAATTCTGTGGTAAAGATCTCTCCCTCATGACCCTCCAGTTGCATTATGGGTGCCTGAAGGTTCGAAGTTCGCCTTACACCCTAAAAAATAGCATAAAAGTATAAAATTGCAATTTTTCTCCGTGCTTCTTCTTGCCACCACGCTTACCGATTCCAGGAGCGCCTTGTCCCGATTTGTGTAGGCTATCAGTTCGCTTTTGCTGCGTTTTGGCTCCTGGGCCAGAACCACGCTGTTATTGGGTCGTTTGGTACCCATTTTAGTAGATTTTTATGAAGAAATTATCAATTTTCAGCCGGAACAAGAAAAACTTCGCTTCACAACAAATCCAAAAGATGCCAACTCGCTTTTTTAACTGTTCGGTGTTTACCAACACTTGTTTTTAGTTGGTAAATAATTGCATAAAAAAAATTTCTAAATAATATGGGTATATATTATTACTAACTTTCTTTAAAAAAAAAGTAATTTTTGTTTAAATTTTGAATAAAAATTTTAATTTTACTTAAAATTTTCCCTTGACGAGCTCAGCAGTAGTGCTGTCCACTTGCTTAACTGATAAACAAAACAGCTGATTGAAAATGTTAATTTTAATTTTCTTTATTTTTACACAATTTGCGGCTATACAATATGCTTTTTACTCAATAAAGATTCCTCCACACTTAATAGGCATCCACACGAGGGGGATCAGCATAGAACTCGTTGCCCTTGCGCTCTCCCTTGAGCCACTGCTTGTAGCGTTCATTTCGCATGGCCTGAAAATGCATTTAAGATCATAAATATACAATGCAAATGATTGATAGCCATCAAGAAGCTTACATGGAATCGCAAGAGCTGTTTTTGCATGCCAACGCACTCCTGGAAATCGGAAATAAGGTCGGCACATTCGCGCTTTCCGCGCTCCAGGCCGTAGGCCTCAAAGCACTCCATCATTTTCATTTCGAATTGTCCGCATTTGTCGTAGGTCTGATGGTTAATCAGACAGCCGGTTAAATCGGTCAAGGGGAGGCGCAAAAATGGAGACAACGACATTTTTGCTAAAAGGAAAAGGAAACAAGAAAATAAGTTAATATTCAAAGATGGAAAGATTTTTGTCACTTCTCACTGTGACGTAACCATAAACAATGGCCGTAAACACTAATTTACGGAGATAATCTGCACCCCATCACTTTCAATGCAGTTTAATAATATGTTTGTTTAGGCTGATTTGTTTTAAGTTTAGTTACACACCTTAACTTGCTAAAGATTTGCAATGAAAACAATTATTTTGTATTTTCTGAATGCAAGCCGAGAAGTGTTGGCTAATGCCTCGAACCAATGACAGCTGGCAGTGTTGGCTAACTCGCGAACCGCTCAACACGTTTTGTTTACAAAAATTTGTTTATTTTTTTAAAAAGCCATGAAAAATCAGGATTTGGTGGATTTTCTGAGATCCTGCGGCGTATGCGAGGTTTGCCAGCTGCGCTACTTGAAGGCTAGAGGTTCCGAGTATAAGGATATCAATGAAACACTTCGAAACGTGAGTTCTGATTTGAAATATAATTATTTTGAAGCAATTTGATAAGCTGGCTTTCTATTTGAATAGTTGGATATAAAAGTAAATGAAACTGTTGAAAATGGATATAGTAGCACTCCACCAGATGATCAGCCTGCAAAAAAACAACGTCTAACCATTTGCTCAACTTGTTTGGGTCTATTTTCGGAGGATTTTCAAAAGGACCTCCTGGCGGGTATCCTCAACTCTGATTTTGGTAAATACGATTGCCAGACAATCGTTCTAGCCATTAGTTTGCCCATGATCCTGCAGCTGAGGCAGTTGGCCATGTGGTATGCCCTGCAGAGAAAATTCGGGCCGATCATAGACGCCAATAACCCCCCAGATGTCCCCATTAAGGAGGCCGTCAAGCTTATACTGCACCCAATAATATGTGAAAAGTTGGGCAAAGAATACGACCCTAATGGGCTAATGATCAGTGTGGATCTCAGGCATAAGCTAGAGGAGGAGGAGGTTGACAAACTGGTGAAGCTCAACAAAGAAGCCTTTCCCTATAAGGCTGCCCATCAGAAACGCATCGAAATCTCACGAGGCTTGCTGGAAAAGCAATACCAACCGGCGAAAGTCAAGGCGGATACTTTCGAGAAGTATTTCCAAATCCCCTCTCCAACTGTAGAGGAACCCCTTGAGCTAAAAACCATTGAGCTGCAAGGTCCATTGGTCTGTGTGGCTGGAAGATATCGGAAAGTAAATCGCGAAATCTCGCACACGCCTTGGGTTCTTAATGGCCAGAGGGTGATGGAGGACAGCATCGAGGAGATAATCATCCGGAATGTTGGAGCGCACTTCACGGAGAAGCCGGAGAAAATCATCTTTATGTCCAGCGGACGAGAAGATGTCGATGTTCGTTGTTTGGGCAAAGGAAGGCCTTTTGTTCTCGAGATTCCGAACTCCATCAGAAGTTCACTGACTAAAGAACAAGCCCACAAAATGGAGAAGGCGGTGGACGAGTCCGGAAAGGTTTCCATAGTAAACCTACAAGTGGTAGCGCGGGAGGAGCTATCGCATATAAAAACAGGCGAGGAGCAAAAGAAGAAATTCTATCGCGCCCTTTGTGCTCTGAAGGAACCAGTAACCGTGGAGATTTTGGAAAAACTTCAAATATCTAAAAGTTTTGATATCCAACAGAAGACCCCCATACGAGTCCTTCATCGTCGTCCTTTGCACACCCGACCCAGGACCATTTATAGTGTTAGGGCGCGCGTCCAACGCGGTAATCCACAAGCTTTGATTGTGGATATTGTTACTCAAGCTGGAACCTACATAAAAGAGTTGGTTCATGGAGAATTTGGAAGAACCACTCCCTCATTATCCTCCATCATAGGCAAGGCCATGGATATTCAAGCTTTAGATGTGGTGGGAATTGACTTGGAATGGCCTCCGGAGGTGGACAATTCATTGTCTAGTTTAAACACATAAAGCTTATTTTTATGACATTTATACTTTCAAAGGTTTAAGATTAAAGTTTCATGTGTAACATTAAATCCGTGTTTTTAAGAAACTTTCGAAAGCGCGCTTGAAAATGACTTCCAGTTTCGATATTTTAGGCTCGATTATTTCAAAAAACCTTCCACCTAGTCTTAAAAATTTTTAAAAATTTAAAGACTGGCAAACATTGCCTTGTATTTTTTAAAAACTTTTACTAATTCAAAAATTAAAATAAATCTTTAATTTTATTACACATAAACACCTTTTACAACACTTAAAACTGATAAGCAGTTGGCAGCTTTGGCCAAATTCTCTTATCAGCTGGGAACCAGCAAAGAAGAAGAACGTGCGCGAAAAAGAAAAAAATAAAAAGCGACTGCTGTGAGCTTAATGAATAAAAAGTAATTTTCTAATTTTCCAGCTAACTACGTCCCTACACATTAATGCAAATCGCTTCAGTGTTGCACAAAAACCACAACTCGAGTTTCAAACTAAAGTGTTATCAATGGCATTCTTGTTAATTGGAATATCCGCATCCTATAAATAAATAATAATAAATAATGAATTGAAATGTGCGCAAAAAAAAAAGAGTGAAAGTGCATAGATAATACTACGCCGCCCACGCCCTATTTTTCCATTCCAGCCTCCCTCTCGATTCTCCATAGCTTTGCGGGTGTGTGTGTGGGTGGGTGTGCGAGTGTTTGGCTTTTTTTGGGTAGAGCGTCCGGCGACCTTCACACAACCTTCAGTATGCAGCAACACGTTGTGTGGAAATGTAATCAATAGAAAAAGCGGCGCCCAGCAGCCGCTGTGTTGAAACAAACACAAGGCCCGAAAGAGAGGGGAAAAAACAAAATCGAAGAATAATCATCAACCGGCTGCCAATGGCAACCACAACAACAAAAATCAACAAGAGTTCTCTCTTAATAATAATAATAATATAAAAAAAAAAACAAACTGCATTTTGTTATCGGCTCTCACGCAAGTTTAGCTTCTCTTCGCTGCCGGGAACAGTGGGGCGTTTTTGATAAAAAGCTTTCGAATAATTTAAAAAATTGAGCAGAATTTTTAAGATTTCTAATTTTCAATTTTTTTAAATTATTAAAAAAAACTTTTATCATTTTTTTGTAAAATTTTGTTGTGTTTTGTTCCACTGTGCAGCGACGCCGTCAGCTTGCTAGCCCCCTTTTGCGAATTTCAAAATTCATTCGAGCTTCGAAATCTGAGCGGAAAAGTTTGAATAGTGCAAACCGAACCGAGGTGATCACCCCAGTAGAGTGTGTGTGATAATAGAGGCCACTACTCGCGTTATCAACAAAAAAAAAAAAAAAAAAAAAAAAAAAAAACAAATAAACTATCATACTAATTGATAACAGAGTCCAGCATAAAATTAAGATTAAATTGGAATATGCAAATTTTATAAGTATATAGTTTGTTTGTAAACTTGAGTGATTGTGAAATAAAAACACTATTAAACAAAGTTTTAAATAAAATAGAGACATTATTAAATAAACTCTCATAAAATAATAAAAAAAACAAGTTTATTTCAAAAGCTTCTAATTATTTTATTGCATTCTTATGCTAACAAAACGATGCTATTTCAACACGAGCTCAAAAACCCAACGCTATCTTACGTCATTTGAGCTTAAAAAATATTAAATACCAATTTACAATAACCTCCCCAACAATTGCAAACAATTTTCTGTTTTTATTTTACAGATATGACACACAAACCCAGCTATTAAAGTTCAACGGCTTTCGACCAAATAAATAAACCAACAAATTAATTAATTTGTTTACTTGGCACATTAATTGCTCGCATACGAGTCGCGTGTGAACAGACATTTGAAGAAAAATAAAAAAAAAATATAATAATAAAAAAAGACTATATCCATATAGCTAAGTAATCCACCCAGATCGGCGACAAAATGAACGACCGTGAAATGAGCACGGGCGGCCAGTTTATGGATCGTGGACGGATGAATCAGAATGGTGTTGTCCAGCCACTACTAACCGGTAATGAAGTAAAAGAATTTCCCTTTTAAATGATATATATTTTTATTGTCTTAATGTGGGAGCTCTCACAGTTATAATGGTCATTGTGGGTCCCATCTCCATACGTAGATCCATTAAAATAAATGCAGTAGAAACCAAAGCGGGTATAGTCAGACGATTCTTCCAAGCGAGTTCCATGAGAAATGCAAATATTTGAAAATCCATGGCAAGTCGAGGGGATCCTTTTTCTTAAATTTAATGTCTATATCTTGCCTTTGGTTCTATATCTTGAACTCCTTTTAAGTCTCTTTATTGAATAATTTTTAAAATTATTAAAATATTACTAGTACTTTAAAATAATGACCTGCTACGATAAATTTAGTTTTGATTTTGTTAATAATCTTACAGTTTTTTTATTCATTTCCAAATAAGCTCCTAAACTGGCTGACATTTAGCTTAAAAAATTCAGAGACAATTTGGCGCGCTATATAGAAGTGCTATTTGTTGATTTGGTTTTTCTTCTATATAGTGTATATAGAAGTGCCCGGCATATTTTTAGGCACAACAGACGACACGGGCACAAATAAATAAAAAAATAAAGAAAACACACCCGATCTTTGGGTCTTTGCACTTAGATAAGAATTTGCATTTCATTTACGGGCTTGCCGCTTATGTGCTCCCGTACGGGCTGATTGTCGGAATATACATACTATATAGAGCTCTTTTTTAATTGCCCCCATCAGCCATGGACTTTCCAGGTTATCTTATCTGGCCCGATTTTTTATTAAAGAAAATCTTAAAAAGTATAACGTTTTTAATTACATTTTATGATATTACAGACTTGTATCAAATAACCATGGCCTATGCATATTGGAAATCCGACAAGACCGATGACACAGCGGTATTTGATCTATTCTTTCGCAACAATCCATTCCACGGTGAATTTACTATATTTGCCGGTCTCGAGGAGTGCCTCAAATTCCTGGATAGCTTCCATTATTCCCAAAGCGGTAAGTTTTTTAATAACTAGTATATATATTATAAATGCTAATCTATTTATATTATTTCCAGATATCGAATATCTAAAACAAACCTTACCCGAGGGCATTGAAAATGAATTTTTCGAGTACCTCGGTAATTTGACGGCGCGGGATGTCACCTTGTATGCCATTGATGAGGGCACAGTAGCTTTTCCACGGTGTGTTTGAATGATACTTTATGACGTGATAGATAAGCTTTTAGCTATTTCTGAATTTTATTAATAATAGATAAAGCATAAAGCAAATATTGTCAAAAAACTCATGGAGTATCGTTATATTACTCATTTAAAATTACTCTTAAAGTGACTCTTGCATTCTAACGAGATTATTGTGAAACATCCAGCTCATGGTTCTTATCTATCTTTATGGTTTTTATGTGGTCTGGCAAATATTTGCGAGTTTTATCTTAGAATAGCTGTATGACAAGCATTATAATTGCATTTATTTCTAGACTTTGTAGCAAACAACGAACCAGTTAAGATTATTAAAATAATTAAATGTTCATTTCAGAGTTCCCATTATTAAAATTGAGGGTCCTCTGATCATAGTCCAGCTGCTGGAGACGACCCTTCTCACCTTGGTGAACTACGCCAGGTATTTCCTATATCGTAAATACCAAATCTGGAAACTTCCTAATAGTTCTTCTTTTATTTCTTGCCTTAATAAACAGCTTAATGGCCACCAATGCAGCTAGATATCGCATGGTTGCTGGAAAACATGTCAAACTATTGGAATTTGGACTGCGTCGAGCCCAGGGCCCAGATGGTGGTCTATCCGCATCAAAGTATTCGTACACAGGTACATGTTACATTATGGCAGCACCATAAAAAATGAAACTTTCACACGCCCCAAGCACCATAGGCTATAGGCGGTAGAGCCGTGACAAGTAAGGTCAACCGTGTGCGAGCTATAAAGCATTTTTTCGGCATTGCCGAATTGCATGCAGACAGCTCATTATCAATTAAAAATAATAGAGGATTGGGGAAGTAGGCAAAATCAGTCATAGTCACCTTTTAGTAGGGGCTATCATATACCTTTTCTTGGGGTAGGATAGGTACTCTAGGCATAGGACTAAGATCTGTAATTTTTAAAAGAAAAAGACTATATTTTTATGAGAATAGTTTCTAAGATGTGTAGGTATTCTCATTAAAATGTCTCTATAATTTAAAAGGTATATTAAATGTTTATCAAACCAGTTTTGTATACTCTTCTCCGATCCCTTGAAGGGGTTATGAAATGAAGGGAATGTGCAGACTTTTCATATTGTTTTCTGCCTGAAATTTTATGATGTGCATGCATGCAAAGCACGTGTCACTGTCAGGCTGAGCTGAGGCTTCTACCCGATTCGCCTTCCTCTATGAGGTTTAAGCCCCCTATCAAGGTTCCTACTACCCACCCACCAACCGATGAGTAATTCCCCAACTTCATCAAGGCATCCGCTTCACCTCGCTCCGGCAAAGTTCAAGAACTCTTGTTTATGTGTTAAACTAAATGCGCCCCGATGCCAGTAAAAGTCCCTAAAGTGGGTGGCACACGCAACGCCCTCGAAGGTTGGGGGGTGGGCGGTACAGCCGGGTGTCCATGTATATGGGAAATCGGTGCCAGGCAGTGCCTATCGACTCCAAATCCGTATCCGGGCATAACGCTGCGGTGCCTTTCAATTGGCGCTCACACATCGTAACTTTTGGGGTTCCGTTTGTTTGGCAAGCTGAACGCTAAAAGTTTTTAATGCGTTCCCAATGGTGGGAGTGGGTGTGGGATATATCCTACTATATAATCGATGGCAGGAGTCGGCGTCAAGGTTCCTGTCAAGGATTCTTTCCCTTTTTTTGGATTAGAGGTTTAAGTTTAATTTTTTTACAATTTTAATCTCTTAGGTGGTTTTGATGGCACCTCCAATGTCTTGGCTGGAAAGCTCTTCAATATCCCTGTGAAGGGAACCCATGCCCATGCCTATATCACCAGTTTCAGCAGCGTGGGAGAACTCAAGACCCGTCTCATCAAGCACAAGCAAACGGGTAAGACTAAAAATAATTCATATATATATTTAAAAGTTAAATAAAAACTTAAATATTTAATAGGAATCATGGAGGATCTATTGGAGCATGCTATCCATCACCGGCAAATGCTATCGCACGTCCTGGACGTGTCCACCGAGGAGTCGAGCGAAGGCGAACTGGCGGCCATGGTGTCCTATGCCATTGCATTCCCAGATGGATTCATGGCCCTTGTCGATACGTACGATGTTAAGAGGTATTTCGCTTTTAGGCAGATTCTCTCGGAACGGTTTTTGTGTTCGGTTTTTAGTTTTAAATATTTTGTTGTTATCCCGTAACTCTATATCTCTTTCCTGGTTACCCCCATTTTTTTGACCTTGTTATTTTTTGAGTATGGATTTCTTTGGTCTATTTTGTATTTGTATTTGAGACTCTCGAGACGTGCACCAGACAGATAAATATTCCAATTTCAGAGTAACTATTACGAAAGTTCAAGAACATCAACTTTTACACTAGAAATGAATCCTTGATCCTTGATCCCTCTATCCAATCATTCTTCCTTGTGTGATTTTCGTTTTTGGTACCTCTTTTTTTTTTTTTTTTGAGTTTTGAGTAATAATCCAAAGTATTATCCAACAGCCGAGAGACAGAACAAGCCACCACAGAACCCAATCTAATCAATGATATCAAGTCTGAGAATAGTCCGCCAAAAATAAAGCCAAATGTAAATGGCCTAAAGAACGGTCAGAGAAAGAACGGTCAAGTGAAAGAGCACCAGGCCAATGGGCAACCGAATGGTGTATCTCAAAACGGCACTAAAGTGTCCAAAGATATAGAAATAAAAGATACAAAATCGAGACCAACGACAGCAACAACCACTGAGACAACAACCACAACAGCCACGTCCAATGGGACGGCATACCTTCCAAAATATGTCGAGAAGTCATTCAGGTAAATTCCGTTAATAAAAAAAAAAATCAAAAATCAAAAATAAAGAATAATAGAAAGCAAAAAAGAAAAAAAACAGAAATAGAAATATGAGAAATCTATAAATTCTCTTCTATAAATTATAATACCCTTTCATTCCCATTAACTTTTACATTTTCATATTTTACTAACCCTTCTGCAGCTTTTTTTTACCTTTCTGTTATTATTTCTTAAAAAATTTTAATATTTAGCTTAAGCCCTGTTTTAAACTAACTGCTATAAAGTTTTAAGTTTTTTTTATAAGCCTGCATGAAATCATCGAAATATTAACCAAAATTATAGCTAATAAATTCAAAATTTTAACCTTCATATACACGCATATATATGTTTATGTTTAAGCGGATATATGTGTACATATGTATGTGTCCTCTGCTTTGGTGTTAAAAAAAATATAGAAATTTGGTCCACAAGTCATATCATTAGGGTGACCCAATAATTGGGTAAAAATTCTGGTCAATAAAGTCAGCCAGAACAGGTGAAGTCGAATTATTAAAATTATTTTTTGTTTGCTTTTGTTTGCCTTTCTTTCCTGCTTACCTACATACACTCCCTTTTCTATATATAACACTTTATTTTTTTCCGGTGTATCACTAATTTCTTGACTAACCTGCTCAATATTACATTCTTTCGTTTATCATTATTTTCTCTAACTCAGTTTTGTTTATTATGCTTCTTATTTTCTCTCGTCCTAAATGTGAATGTGAAACAAAAAAAATATAAAACCCAAACATTAATCGAACCCGAATCAGATATCCATAAAATGAATCCGAAAGAAAGAATTTACGAACCTAACATATTAAACAAAAAATGACTTCCGGCACTATTTTGGCAGAGGTATGTAAAACACACGTCTTCAAGTTAAAAAAAAAAAAAACCAACAACATTTTTTAAACAAAAACACTAAAATATCATATGACATAAACTCATCCACTCAAAAGCAACAATTACTGCAACAATAAACTAAAGTCATACATAAAACAAAAATATTAAAAAGTGCATAAAACAAATTTAAAGTTTTTAAAAAATCATTTTCCTAATTGGATTTTTTTCAGTAAATTTAAAATAAACAACTATTGGATTAAAAAAACTTAAATTCTCATTAAAACTAAATCAAAAATCATCCAAAAGCTTGGATTAGAATTAATATAAGTAACGTAAACCTAAAGTTAATAAACCTTTTGTGTTTAAAAAGTTAACGTTTGTTCCACCAACTTGTGAAATTATTCATTTGTTTTTAGCACAAAAACGTCAAATAAAAACCCAAAACGGAAACTCGCACTGAATCACTCTAATGCTGTCATATATTTAATCCTTTTTTCAAGTGTCCTTGTCCTCGAAACACAATTTATTTTTTGAGTTTAAAAACTTTGTTCTATTTTCTCCCTTTCCTATTTTTTGTTGTGTTCAATTTTTAATCCTCTTTATGAAAACAAATACCCAATATTCTGAACATTTTTCTAAAATATTTTTTCGTTAGTTTTTTAAACTTGTACATATTTAAATGAAAGAGTCCGAGAGAGCACACTGCATGGCTTAAAGACAAGAAAGATCAAATCTTTCGACATTTTGTGCTGCAGTCCCCTTTTAAAAAAACAATCTCAAATATTTTCGAAACACCAAGAAAGTTGTTTTTTAATAGCAGCACTTGCAAAACAGAACCAATTTTAATTGGTTTCTTGACACATTTTTTTTATAGCTCCACACTTGAGATTTTTCTGTAATATTCGCTTTGAACTTAGTGGCAAAAAAAAAATTAAATAATTAATTGAAACAATTTGTATAGCAAAAGAGAGAAATATTTTTGTTGGATTGAAAAATACTAGAAAAAACCAAGCAGCACCTTAAGCGTTTATTAAACTAAAATAATTAACTATATTTTATGTAATTTGTATTTTCCTAGGAGTGGCTTGCTGAATTTCAGTGCCGTGGCTCTGGCTCTCAATGATTTGGGCTATCATGCCTTGGGAATAAGGATCGACTCTGGAGATCTGGCCTATTTGTCCTGCCTGGCGAGGGAAACATTCGAAAAGGTGGCGGAACGCTTCAAAGTTCCATGGTTCAATAAGCTGACCATTGTGGCTTCGAATGATATCAACGAGGATACCATTCTGAGTTTGAACGAGCAGGGTCACAAAATTGATTGCTTTGGCATTGGCACGCATTTGGGTAAGACTTAATATTATTTAGAAAATATTAAATATAATTTTTAAAAATTATTTTCCCTTTCTAGTGACCTGCCAGCGTCAGCCCGCCCTGGGCTGTGTCTATAAGCTGGTAGAGATCAATGGCCAGCCTAGGATCAAGCTCAGCCAGGATGTGGAGAAGGTCACCATGCCCGGCAACAAGAATGCCTACCGTTTATATAGCGCTGATGGTCATGCTCTGATCGATCTGCTACAGAAAGTATCGGAACCTCCACCAGCAGTTGGCCAGAAGGTCCTTTGCCGACATCCGTTCCAGGAGTCGAAACGAGCCTATGTTATACCCTCTCATGTGGAATCCCTGTACAAGGTGTACTGGAAATCGGGAAAGATATGCCAGCAATTGCCGACCTTGGAACAAGTGCGCGAAAAGGTGCAAATTTCGCTCAAGACCCTTCGAAATGATCACAAGCGAACACTGAACCCAACGCCCTATAAGGTATGCTAATAATTAGATCTTATTTATAAATTATTAAAATATTCTTTGTTTTATTACAGGTTGCCGTCAGCGATAATCTGTACAACTTCATCCACGATCTGTGGCTCCAAAATGCTCCCATCGGCGAGCTTTCATGATCTATATAATAAGGATCTCAAGATCTAACTAAAGATGCGCGAAAACATTTCCGAGAAATCTACATATTATACATTTTTTTGGTGTACTACATACATTTGTCCACGATCTGTGAATCGTGGCATGATAATTTTTTAGTCATTTGCTGGTCATATGCATGGTATAATTGGAATTTGATTTTTCTCATTAGAGTTCCACCTACCCCCTCTTCAAAATACTAGAGCACAAATTCCGAAGCGAACCTGGAAGCGAATTTGAAAAAACATTGTGTAGTCAATAGTTTTAGTGTGTTATACTTAATACTACTTACTTACTATATATACAAAACGCACATCATATTCAGGAATGTGTCATGTGCCTTAAACGGAACCAGAGAACCGAAACCGATACCGGAAACGGAAACGAAGCAAGAGAATGAAACCCAAATCAACCAGTAACTAAGATCAACCAAATAATTGAACAAAGTGAAGGAGAAATGTAATAGAATCCAAACGAAAGATGTATTTAATATTTTTCTAGTACTTAAGTGTTGAAATGTTGCTAACAAATGAGTAAACATAACGAAAGCTAGAAGTACAAATGCTTTTTAGGACATTTGCTTGCAATAGGGCACACGCATCAAGCACACACCTAAATATATATATATATAAATATATATAAATATTTTATTCTATACATTACGTTTATGTATTTAACTAAATTCAATTGTAAATATGTTCAACTTGATTATTGTAAGCCAATTAAGCAATATACCATCCAACACAACACACACCGCCACTTCTAAATGACCGCTTCAAATAATTGTTGCCTGTAGTTTTTGATCGAAAATAAAAAGTGAAACCAGAAACCAAAAAAATACCACATTTATTTTTTAATCAATTTTTTAAATCAAGAAAATTATGGACAAGTAACTAAACGATTTTTAAATCGCCCGCCAAACTTTCAAGTATTTAGTATTCTTATGGTATATTTTGGTATATTTTATTCTTACTTCCAACTAACTTGGTATTCTTTGGCCACACTGTTTTGTTTTTGGGAGCAGCTGCGATAAATATTTATTGTTATTTACATTTTAACATAAAACAGGTATATAAATTAATAAATAATGTTCAGGTTTTGTAAAGAGCAATAAAGGATAACTCGGAGAATTGTCTTACCAGTCAAATAATTACGGAATTTTCCGGATTTTTCCTGCAGCTGCGCAACTTCTGAAGGAAAACAACAACAACGGTGATTCATTTCGCCCACAAAAAAGAAGTTTTCCTCTGGAAATTGATTTTTAACCAGATTTTCGTCTTACAGATAGTTCCAAAGAATGGATGACGACTCAGGAAATCGAAAGGACCAAGTCCTAGAGAGATTAAATAAGCGTAACAAGGACCGACAAAACTATTTGGATGTGAAATCGGAGCAGCGATCCAAGGAGTCTGTGCAGAACGAGGGCGTGGACTATTTTGCTCAAGCCTTTGGACAACGTGCTTTTGATATTGAACAGCGATTAAAGAAACTGCAATCCAGCAGCGGAGACGCCCCACCCACAGACTTGAGCCAGAACTTTGCGGACATTACCCTGCAGATACAGGAATTACAGAGATATCTCACAGCTTCCACAATGTTCTTGTCGGACTTTAAGATCAAGTCCTGTCAGAATATCCTCAATACTCTAACCTCAACCAATGAAGAGGTACGCCAGCGCCTGATGCCCAAGAAAAAGTTCGGGTTTAGTGGCAAGAAAACAGCTCCCAAACAGAAACCCGCTGCTGACATAGACTCCGTTGATTCCAAGGCACCAAAAAGTCAACAGAAACTAGGTTCCAACTTTAGCTGGACTGTATCGAACCGAAAAAACGAACACATTGTCCTTAAAAGCGGCCAAGTCAATGGCCAGGATATAACAATATCCAATGTTAGTCATTGTTTGCTGGAACTGCAAGGGCATCCGGGATCCGTTCAGGTCTCCAAGGCATCAAACTGCACCCTGCTTTGTGGGCCCATCGCTCGATCCTTCTTCGCTGAGAATATGGATAAATGCACTATTGCCATAGCTTGTCAGCAGTTGAGATTGCACTCCTCTCAGTTGACAAGGATATACCTGCATGTTACGTGTCGGGCGATTGTTGAAGATTGCCAAGGCATCGAAATCGGTGAATACAATTATGATTATCCCGAAATAGAGTCTGACTATTTGTCCTCCGGGTTGAACAAATCGCAAAATAACTACACAGATGTGGCTGATTTTAATTGGCTCTCGCCAGATGTTCCTTCTCCCAACTGGAGTTTGTTAAAGGACTATCCGGATCCCAATTGGAACGCATTCCGTCGGGATTTCATCAGCAACAACAATAACAATGAACATAAAGAGGATCACTTGGGAGTCAAGGATCCTTCGATTATCTAGTGGCGGCATCGGCGGCAGCAGTTAGCCTGGCTGGCCTACGGACTCATCCTGGGCTGGCTTCTCTGGGAACTGCTGCTGCCTCCAAAAACTGGGAACTTAAATACCCTAATGCGATCTGTGTAAATAGCTCTAAGAGTGTTGAATAAATGAATCTTGTAAACAAAATCTGTGTGCTTATGTTTAGGAATTGTTTAAGGCTTTCCGAAATCTATGTCTTTGCCAACTTTATGGATGAAGACTTTATGAAGTCGGAGATGAATCCTTCTGTATATTCACACGACTTCAATGTACCCTTTTATTCTACAAGTACCAGGTATAAAAACGTAACAAAGTAGTCCATGACTGGCCACTCAAACCTAAGTAGCTGTGGCTTTGTGATCAGACCTCAGTCGTTTCGAAACCTCACAAAATACGGAGCTATTCATAAAAATAAGAGTCACCAATTGGAATAATAAACATTTTTTTGAAAATTAAAATGGAAAAAACCAAACCCGAAAAGTCTTCGAAGTTATTAGATAATAAGGTGATGCGGACCGAGTTCGAGTTGCACCACTTTATTTGCCGCAATCACTTCAAACGGCGTTTGCAAGAGCGCTGCCGTAATGCCAATATAACCGGGTACGTGATATACAAGAACCACGGACGCAACGCATGTGGTGTGATGGAGGGCCTACCCGAGGACATCAATGAATTGAAGATGTGGATCTCCTGCAGGTATATTCCGGAGACCTTTAATAAAGGTTTAATTTTCTCGGCCTACGAGATTTGCCGGAATCCAGATAGACAGGAGTTCTGCGAGAGAACCTCTGTTCCGGACGAGCCGCTTCTGGCCGACATCTACAAAGAAGATATGATGGCTCTGCAAGAAGAAGCCGAGCAGAAGGCAAAGGCTGAGGCCGAGGAAAAAACCAAACCCATAAAGATTTGCTTAAACCCAGACAGACAGGAGTTCAGCGAGAGAACCTCTGTTCCGGACAACGAGCCGCTTCTGGCCGACATCCACGAAGAAGATATTAAGGCTCTGCAAGAAGAAGCCGAGCAGAAGGCAAAGGCTGAGGCCGAGGAAAAAACCAAACCCGAAAAGTCTTCGAAGTTATTCGATAATAAGGTGATGCGGACCGAGTTCGAGTTGCACCACATTATGCGCCGCAATCACTTCAAACAGCGGTTGCTGGAGCGCTGCCGTAATGCCAATATAACCGGGTACGTGATATACAAGGACCACGGACGCAACGCATGTGGTGTGATGGAGGGCCTACCCGAGGACATTAATGAATTGAAGATGTGGATCTCCTGCAGGTATATTCCGGAGATCTTTAATAAAGGTTTAATTTTCTCGGCCTACGAGATTTGCCGGAATCCAGATAGACAGGAGTTCTGCGAGAGAACCTCTGTTCCGGACGAGCCGCTTCTGGCCGACATCCACGAAAAAGATATTATGGCTCTGCAAGAAGAACCCGAGCAGAAGGCAAAGGCTGAGGCCGAGGAAAAAACCAAACCCATAAAGATTTGCTGGAACCCAGATAGCCAGGAGTTCAGCGAGAGAACCTCTGTTCCGGACAACGAGCCGCTTCTGGCCGACATCCACGAAAAAGATATTATGGCTCTGCAAGAAGAAGCCGAGCAGAAGGCAAAGGCTGAGGCCGAGGAAAAAACCAAACCCGAAAAGTCTTCGAAGTTATTCGATAATAAGGTGATGCGGACCGAGTTCGAGTTGCACCACATTATGCGCCGCAATCACTTCAAACAGCGGTTGCTGGAGCGCTGCCGTAATGCCAATATAACCGGGTACGTGATATACAAGGACCACGGACGCAACGCATGTGGTGTGATGGAGGGCCTTCCCGAGGACATCAATGAATTGAAGATATGGATCTCCTGCCGTTATATTCCGGAAATCTTTAATAAACGTTTAATTTTCTCGGCCTACGAGATTTGCTGGAATCCAGATAGACAGAAGTTCTGCGAGAGAACCTCTGTTCCGGACAACGAGCCGCTTCTGGCCGACATCTATGAAAAAGATATTCTGGCTCTGCAAGAAAAAGCCGCGCAGAAGGCAAAGGCTGATAAAAGAGCCAAGCAGCAGGCCGAGGCCGAGGAAAAAACCAAACCCATAAAGTTACGGTGGTACCCAGATGGACAGGAGTTCAGCGAGAAAACCTCTGTTCCGGACAACGAGCCGCTTCTGGCCGACATCTACGAAGAAGATATGATGGCTCTGCAAGAAGCCGAGCAGAAGGCAATGGCTGATAAAAGAGCCAAGCAGGAGGCCGAGGCCGAGGCCGCGGCCGAATCCGAAGCAGAGTCCAAGTCCGAGTCCGAGGCCGCGGCCGAATCCGAGGCTTCGAAATAGGATCGGAAGGCCGAAGGATCGAAATATTGGCACTATTATGCATTTACCAACATTACTATAGGGAGTGCATCGGAAAATTTTTGAAAAAAATTATATGTTTATAATTATTATAATTATTATTATATATGTTAAAATAATAAAATAAAAAAATAATTTTCTTCCAGATTTTGATGCAGGTTGATGGAGAATCGACCCACAAATCGATTAAGGTACTCCGCTCAAGGATCAGATGGAAATTGGCAAAGATATGGGCTTCGCGGTGGGTGATATTGGGCACCCATGCATTTTGACCATTTTTGAAGGGGGTCCATCAGAAAAATTGACAAAAAATTTAAAAAATAATTTGTGTTTAGATTTTGATGCAGATTGGTGGAGAATCGACCCACAAATCGATTAAGGTACTCCGCTCAAGGATCAGATAGAAATTGGCAAAGATATGGGCTTCGCCGTGGGTGATATTGGGCTCCCATGCATTTTGACCATTTTTGAAGGGGATCCATCAGAAAAATTGACAAAAAAGTGAAAAAAAATTTTCTTTCAGATTTTGATGCAGATTGATGGAGAATCGACCCACAAATCGATTTAGGTACTCCGCTCAAGGATCAGATGGAAATTGGCAAAGATATGGGCTTCGCGGTGGGTGATATTGGGCACCCATGCATTTTTCAGCATTTTTGAAGGGGATCCATCAGAAAAATTGACAAAAAATTTAAAAAATAATTTGTGTTTAGATTTTGATGCAGATTGGTGGAGAATCGACCCACAAATCGATTAAGGTACTCCGCTCAAGGATCAGATAGAAATTGGCAAAGATATGGGCTTCGCCGTGGGTGATATTGGGCTCCCATGCATTTTGACCATTTTTGAAGGGGATCCATCAGAAAAATTGACAAAAAAGTGAAAAAAAATTTTCTTTCAGATTTTGATGCAGATTGATGGAGAATCGACCCACAAATCGATTTAGGTACTCCGCTCAAGGATCAGATGGAAATTGGCAAAGATATGGGCTTCGCGGTGGGTGATATTGGGCACCCATGCATTTTGACCATTTTTGAAGGGGATCCATCAGAAAAATTGACAAAAAAGTGAAAAAAAATTTTCTTTCAGATTTTGATGCAGATTGATGGAGAATCGACCCACAAATCGATTTAGGTACTCCGCTCAAGGATCAGATGGAAATTGGCAAAGATATGGGCTTCGCGGTGGGTGATATTGGGCACCCATGCATTTTGACCATTTTTGAAGGGGATCCATCAGAAAAATTGACAAAAAAGTGAAAAAAAATTTTCTTTCAGATTTTGATGCAGATTGATGGAGAATCGACCCACAAATCGATTTAGGTACTCCGCTCCCTGGCCATAGGGAGAGGCCTGGCCCCCAACAAAGCACCCGGCCCGGACTCGGTTCCTAACCGAGCCCTGAAACTGGCTCTGGCACTGCAGCCGGGAAGTTTTGCGGAGCTGTTCAACAGATGCATCCGCGAAGGCACCTTTCCCACCAGGTGGAAGGTGCAGAAGCTCCTGCTGCTACAAAAACCAGGGAAACCAAGGGAGGAGGCGTCGTCCTATAGGCCAATCTGCCTGCTGGACACAACGGGCAAGGTTTTCGAGAGGGTGATCGCTTCGAGGCTCGGAAGCCGCAATAGAGGAGGCGGGAGGGCTGTCGCCAAAGCAGTACGGGTTCCGGAAGGGAAGGTCCACAGTGGATGCCATAGCAGCGGTGGTTGGAATTGCTCGAAACGCAATAGCAGGAACTAGGTGGAAGGGTGGCTCCAAGCAATACTGCCTAATAGTCACCCTGGACATCAGGAACGCGTTCAACACGGCGGACTGGAGCAATACCCTGGCAGCCCTAAGGCGGTTCAACGTCCCCAATTCTATAATGAACGTTGTCAGCAGCTACTTCAGCTGCAGGGTCCTACTTGTCGACACGGACATGGGCACGGAGACCTACGGCGTCACGGCAGGTGTGCCCCAAGGATCGGTCCTGGGACCGCTGCTGTGGAACGCCATGTATGACGGGATCCTGAGACTGCAGCTCCCAGCGGGATGCGACGTCGTCGGCTTCGCAGACGACGTAGCGTTGGTAGTTGTGGCCAAACATAAGGAGGAAGCGGTGAGAGCGGCGAACAAGGCGATTGAATCAATGGAACAGTGGCTCCAAAATGCGGGACTAAGCCTAGCCCCACAAAGACGGAAGCGGTGCTGGTCAGCAGCCGCAAGGTTCTAGAAACGGCGACGATTCAGGTTGGTGGAATGGCCATAACCTCCCAGCGGGCCATCAAATATCTGGGGGTGATGATCGACGCCCGGCTCTCCTTCCGTGAGCACCTAGAATATATCCAGGGCAAGGCTGCAGCCACTATCAGGGGCCTCACCCGGATCCTCCTCAATACCAGAGGACCAAAGCAGAACAGGAGAAGGCTCCTCGTGAGCGTTGCCTCGGCGCAACTTCTGTACGCGGCTCCCATCTGGGCTGAGGCGATGAATACGCCCAGCTACAGAAGAGGAGTTGACGCAGCGTACAGGCTGGGAGCAATAAGGGTGGCGTCCGGCTTCAGGACAGTCTCCGACGACGCCATCCTGGTCATCGCGGGGATGGTCCCGCTGAAAGAGCGCGCTCGAGAGCTTAAGGAGCTAAAGGAAGCTCGCGCTCGTTATGAGGTTGCTGGTGGCGCCCTTGATATATCTACAATGGAGGAGGCCAAGGAGAGGTCGCTCACAGCCTGGCAGGACTGCTGGGACTCATCGACGAAAGGAAGATGGACGTACACTCTCATCCCCAATCTTAGAAGGTGGGTGTCTCGAAGCCA